TCCCTCACAGCACTTAGAGTGCCTGGCACATAGTAAGTGCTCGGTAAATGCTTACCATGTGCCAGTAATGTAGTCTATTACAGGTTGTTGTTGCTATTGAGTCAGCTCCAACTCATGGAGACCCCATGTACAATAGAGCAAAATGCTGCCCAGCTCTGTGCCATTTTCAAGATTGTTATGTTTGAGTCCATTGTTGCAACCACTGTGTATTTTGAGTGCCTTCCAACCTAGAGGGCTCATCTTCCAAAACTATGCTGGACAATATTCTATTGTGATCTATGGGGTTTTCATTGACTAACTTTTGGAAGTAGGTTGCCAGGTCTTTCCTCCAAGTCTATTTTAGTCTGAAATTTCTGCTGAAATCTGTCCACCATGGATGACCATGCTGATATTTGAAATACCAGTGGCATAGCTTCCAACATCACACAACACGCAAGTTCCCACAGTACAACAAACTGACAGTCTGGTAGTAGAGTATATAATATACTATGTATTATATATTTTTATTATATATATCATTATAAGTTATATATTATCATCCCCAAGTTGTAGATGATGAAACTAATACGCAGAGAAGTTATGTGACTAGCTCAAGGTCACAGAGCGTCCTTTTGACTACACCAGAACCTTTAGGGCAGATCTGGGGTCATAAGTGTTCACCAGGCTTTGCCTTCTCCTGGCCATGCTCAGTTAAGTGCTGAGGGGTGGGACCTCTGGGGCTCCAGGTCAGTCCTGGGTTCCTTCTGGACAGGGGTCTGCATCTCCTTATCTCAACTCCTGTCCCAGAGGAAGCAAAGCCTGTTCTGGAAGGTTCCCAGTAAAATCACCTCCCCAGTCCCTGCCCTCTCGAGCTGGGAGCCCACCCTCTCCTAGACTGTCTTTCCTCTCAGCCCCAAGCCGCTGCACTCTCCTGAAGGACCATAACCTCATTTTCTTCCTTCTCCCCTGATGGCTCTGCACCCTGTGTGCCTCAGTCTATCCTTGTCTTGCTTCAGCTATTGCTTTTTCTCTGTCCAGACTCCTGAACTTACACAAAACACATTGACACTGAGCAGGCAGTGGGAAGGGCACTGCTTAACACAGAAGTCCCTGCTCCTTCCCTGCGTTGGGCCTGGGGCCTCAGCCATCCCTGAGCGAGGAGCTCCTGTGTTCTGAGAGGTCTCCCCTTGCCTCCTGCACCTGGTTCTAGACTGGGGAGAGGGCCACTTTGACAACCTCCATTAACGTCCTGCTTGGGGAGGTAAACATTCAGTCTAAATCACAAATGCCACCACTGTCCCCAGTGAGGTTCAGCATCCTGGATTGGGCCACAACCAGACCTTTCTTATGGGATGCTGGACAAGAGCCCAAGGTCTCAGGATAAAAAGATCTTCCACACCCTAACACTTCCCTGCTGTGTGACCTTGGGCAGATGACTTCACCCTTCTGAGCCTTATTCTCTTTGACTGTAAAATGGGCATAATTATGGTACCCACCTGACAGGACTGTGGGCACGCAATAAGATGTTTGTTCGCTTTTTATTCAGTCATTTATTAATTCAACAAATGTTTGCTGTGCACCTTCTATAAGCCAGGCAGTTGTCTAGCTACAGCAGCAAAAAAAACATACTAACTTGCTGCCCTCCTAGAATTTACCTTCTGGTGATACTACACACAGAGTTGTCATACAGGGCCTGACACATAGTAGACGCTGAAGAAATGGTGGTGGTGGAGGTTATTGTTGTTGTTACTATTCAGACATCCTTGCCCGCCCTTACCTCCTTCCCCCCGGGATACATTATTGGAGTCAAAACCCATGGATTCTGGGGATGGTGCATGCTCAAATGGTCAAGGAGCATGGACAGTCCTGCAGAATCGAGGGTGGGACACCAAGCACACAAAGTCTCTGGTGTCTTTTGTCTCTTCTTGAGGCATCAAGTCCATCTTACTACTACTCCATAAGACAGCTGCTGGTCCCAGTGTAAAATTAATGCTTCCTACTGATCCTTGAGGGCAGTGGTGCCTCCGTGGTAGAATTCTTGCCTTCCATGCAGGAAACGCAGGTTCAGTTCCTGGCCAATGTATCTCATGTGGTACCAGTCTGTCAGTGGAGGCTTGTGCATTGCTATGATGCTGAACAGGTTTCAGAGGAGCTTCCAGACTAAGATAGTCTAGGAAGAAAGGCCTGACAGTCTACTTCTGAAAATCAGCCAATGGAAACCCTGTGAATCCCAACGGTCCAATCTGCAACCAATCATGGGGATGGTGCAGGACGGGCAGTGTTTCATTTCTTTGTGCGTGGGGTTGCTGTGAGTCAGGGGTCAACTTGACAGCAGCTAACAACACTGCATCCTTTAGTAAAATTGCCCCTTCTGAAAGGCACGGCAGGTTTCTCCGGGGACTTTAGCACCCCTTGACGCGTGACTAGAAAGCCCATACCCCAGGTGGAAACACTGGATTCGAGTATGGAGGTACCGTGGAGGCAGAGAAGAGTGAATACAGAGGTTTAGCATGGAAGGTGAGTAGAGGGGGGCACTTGCCTCTGGGCATAAGTCCAAGGGGGCACCAGAGGAGGTGCAGAATGGCATTCTGAGGTGCCACAAATATGAAAAGCCTCTGACTGAGGTAACTGGACAAGAGGGGGAAGGTGTTTCTGCTGATGCTTCACCTATATCATCATCTATTCATTTTTAAATTGGAGGGGGTGCAACTTAGAGATTGCTCCTGGGCGCTCCTTACCCTCACTAAGCCTCTCAGTGAATATTGTTATCCCCATTTTACAGACGAGGGAAATGAAGCGCCGAAAACTGAAGTGACTTGCCCAGGGTCCCCCAGCCAGGATTTAGGAGAGCTTGGATTTGAACCAGATCTATCTGATTACAGATCCTTTGTTCTTAAGCGCTGTCTGGCAGTCCACTACCAGCCTCCACTCCTCAAAGCGAAAGCAGAGAGCGCCCACTAGGGGGGAGGGAAAACAGCGCTGAGCTGGGAGTCTGGAGACCAGTCTGCGTCTGGACTCCTCCGCCCTCTTGCTCTCTGGCTCTGAACTAGCAGCCTCCTTTCCCTGTCTGCTTCAGGTTCCTCGTTGGAAAATGGCACTAACTCTAAAATGCCTCCAGCGCTAAAGTTCTTCCTGTGAAAGAGGATAGGATTGTGAAGGAGAGAGCTGGGGCAGGAGAGAGCGGACAGGAGGGAGGGGTTGGGGCTGAGGGAGGGGCTCAGTCCGCCCTCCTCCCCCACTCCCTTCTCCTCACTGCCTTGGGCCTAGGATGGCCAGCTGTCCGCGGCTGCGGGGCGGGGCCGGTGCCCATGCCAGACCCAACCGAGCTCAGCAGGGGCCCTTTGTCACCCAACGCTTGCCGGGCCGGCCGCGGTGTTGGGTGTCGGAGCGGATTGGATTCTCTCCTGGCAGCCCCGCAGATGCCGCGCTCCTGCGAGGGCGGCCGGGCGGGCAGGGAGAAGCAGCTGCTTCCTCCTCTTCCTGGGCTCACTAAAGGGACGTGTCGGCCGCTGTCCGTGGTGCTGGCTGTTGGGGGTATCCCCCAGGTGAGGGCTCTGAGGACCAGCGGAGCTCCTGCTGGGACCCAGCTCCGCGCTTAACGATGTTCTCATGAATATGTATGAGCTGGCTTCTCTGCCCTGGCTGGAGGCTTGGTGCATGTGGGTGGGGGCTGTGGCATGGGTGGAGGTGGGCGATTTTCTCCCAGCCACCCCCACGCCACTCACACGTCTGCAAGATGGGAGTGGGGAGAGAGTGTGGGAAGAAGGGTGTGTATCTGCGGGTATAGGTGATGTGGATGGGGGAAGCATCCATGTGTGGGGTCTGGGGGCTGTGCGTGGGTGTGTGTGTGAGAGAGAGAGAGGAGGGGCGGTTCCCAGATTGTGTGGGCGTGGGGACGTATATAAACATGTTGAGGATAATGAGAGAAAGAGGGAATTAGGGTCTGTGTGTGCACAGAGGGGCTGTGAGAGCAGATAATTTGGGAGGACGGTGATGGCAATGTTAAAGTGTAAGCCTAAGAGTGTGACTGTGTGTGACAGTGTGTGTGATGGGGTGTACATCAGAGTGTACATGGGTATGAGTTGGGGCCTGTGGAGGGGTGTGTGTGTTAGCAGTCAGGCAGGGCCTAAAAGTATACAGGTTGGGTGTTGAGGCACCCTGAACTGTGTGTGCCTCAGGGTGTGTGTACCCGAGGGTGTGTGTGTCAGTGTATTACATAGCACAGCGCCCATTAGGCTTAAGGGTAGTGTGGTGCTCTATTGTTAGGGTGTGTGATGAGGGTGTACCAGGCTGTACCTTTCGAGTGGTATTGTGGAGTGCCCAGGCAGGTGCCAGCACCATATGGGTTTATAGTGTGTGATGAGCGTATACCAGGCTGTGCCTTTCGAGTGATGTGGAGTGCTCAGGTGGGTGCCAGCACCATATGGGTTTACAATGTGTATGGGTGTGTTATGGGGTGTTGCATGAAACACCCATGTTAGGGTATTTGTGTATAAAGTGAGTGTCATTTGGGATGTTGTGCATGTGTGTGCACATATGTATGTGTGTGCAGGTATGTGTGTGTGCGTGCGTGTACGTGTATGTGTGTGTATGTCTGTGGTGTATGTGTGTACGTGTGTGTGCATATGTGTATGTTTGTGCAGGTGTGTGTGTGTGCGTGTATGTGTATGTGTGTGTGTATGTCTGTGGTGTATGTGTGTATGTGTGTGCATGTGTCTGTATATGTGTATTGTGTGTGTGC